ATAGTTGAAAAGGAAATTATAGAGATAGTGAACAAATGTGGTAATAAATCATCCAGTGATAGTGATGGTATCACTATGACAATGGTTAAATGGGCAATTGAGGGGATATGCAAACCATTAACCCATGTTTTTAACATGTCGTTTCGACTTGGGCAGTTCCCCAATAATATGAAAATAGCAAAGGTTATTCCATTGTATAAATCTGGTGATAAGCACAACTTCACAAATTATAGACCGATTTCTCTTTTGTCACAGTTTTCAAAAATTCTGGAAAAACTCTTTAATAACAGATTAGACTCATTTATTGATAGACATAAAATCCTTTCTGATTGCCAATATGGTTTTAGGAAGAGTATTAGGGCCACTGCATAAATTTTTTTTTAAATCTGATTTTATTCTCAAAATTCTGACTTTAATCTCAGAATTCTGAGAATAAAGTCATGTCAACAAGCAAACAACATTCTCAGAATTCTGACTTCAGAATTCTGAGAATAAAGTCAGAATTTTGAGATTAAAGTCAGATTTAAAAAAAAAAAAAAAAGTATGCAGTGGCCCTAATACTCTTCCGTAGAATTCTGACTTTATTTTCAGAATTCTGAGATTAAAGTCAGAATTCTGAGAATAAAGTCAGAATTTAAAAAAAAATGTATGCAGTGGCCCTAATACTCTTCCGTACAACTGTCTTTACATGCTTGAAAGAATAAATCAAATCAAATACCGCATTCAAGCCTGACTCCTCACTCAGTCCGCTGACCTACATCCATCTGATCACCAAAATGGGCTCCTCACCTCCTCCCTCCCCTGAGATGATGCATTTTCACCTCAGTCTCATGAGCTGTGCTCTTGGGCACGTTCAGTGCAGCAGAAACTTTCTTGTAGCCTTTCCCAGATCTCACAGGTCTACGGACAGTTTGACCTCATAGCTGTGTTTTCACTGTGACATACACCATTAAATACGAGACCTTCTATAGACACGTGTGCCTTCGCTAACTATATCCAGTGCATTAAACACAGGTGGACTCTAATCAAGCTATAGATGCATCTGGACGGTCACTGAGGGTCTGATTACTTATGTACATTACTTTTAATAAATGTCTGGAACATAACAAAATGCAGGAAACTTGAAAGGCTGGGAATACCTTCTGTACTGACTGTATAGACCGGCAGGTTTTGCATGATTTTATGAGCTTTTTCTTCTTTCTCCCTTTGCTTTAATGCGGTGCACGATGATTCAAACATGCTTTAGTATTTTTAGTAGTCGCTGTATGACCTGTTTTGGCTGCTGCCGTCATCAAAATCTCTGTGCATTTACAGCACCTTTCTGCATCTCTCACTCAGACATACACACTGTGTAAATAGACTCGGGCCCAGTCATAAGGACTGCGTGTGTGATTGTGAGGAATTTATAGCCTCCTGTGTTTGTCTTGCCTGTCGGTGGAGCTGACACTGATCAGGGTGGAGATGACAGGCTCGCTCCGCGCCAAAGCTTTCACATGTTTCTGCATCGCTGACTGTTTCCAACTTGAGACGTGGCGCCATGTTACGCTTTTCATCTCCTTTAGATTTTGATTGTACAGACTTTTTTTGATCTTTCACGTGCTGATGATGTACATACTTATTTTCAACAGTTCTGTTCCAAGGGAGAAAAAAAACTCAACCATGAAAATGTTTTAAATGCAGACTGACTTTGTAGACAGGACATTTTGTTCTTAAGAAGTAATTTTGGTACATACTGTAGCATAAATACGAGGCTGCGCTTCACATTACTTTGTAGACATTTGAGGTGCTCTTATCCGACAATGAGTCAACGTTGCGGGAGTGACGATATGAGTGTGGGGACAGAAGCTGCATTTCTCTGAATATTTACCACAACGAAAGCTTTTCATAGGCTAAATAAGTGTTGATTCTGTTGAACAGCTCCGAGGCAGCGAACTGACCCATCGGGCTTCCTGCTCCAATTCATCTCCATGCATTTATTTAGAGTTGAAATTTTAAAATGAAGTCTACAAAGACGGCGTGCTACATAATGAGTCGTCATATGCAGTGATGTAGACAGGGTTGGCATCATACTGTATGGTTAGTACATTTCCATGTGTTCCAGATGTTAGAGGATGTCACCACAACAGACAGCTGTGACCATGAGGAGCTTCACCTCAGACCCAGTGCACCAAGGTGCACACAGTGTGATTCCCTGTAATGCTGTAAAAAGCTATTTTATTTCTGATACGTGCAATAGAAATGAAAGTAGTCTGATTAAAACCCAGCTGAGCTTCCTGCTCTTGGATGTCGGCGAGTGCTGAGCGATACAGATAAAAATCTACATCACTATTTAACTGTATTTTTGTAATAATAATATAAATGGCAGTTGGTGGTGAATTTTTTTCTCTTTCTCTCTACAGTGTGTTGTTTCGTGGTTCACAAACGTTGCCATGAGTTTGTCACATTCTCGTGTCCGGGAGCTGATAAAGGGCCTGCATCAGATGTAAGTACAAATAAATTCATCATTTTAAATAGTACGCCCATGTACAAAAAGCGAGTATGAGTCATGAAAGATGTGGAATGAAATGGTCTGAATTTGCATCTCTGACCATCATTTGAGTTCTTATTCTTCTTGATTTAATCACTATAAACAAGTAAGACTGGCTGAGATGATGAGCTTTCCTGCAATGACACTGAGATCTTTACTTCTTTGGGCAACAGTTTTCTCATATTAATGAATCACATGACGACTTGTATGTGAAAGAAATACCTCATAGTGATGAAGATGTAGAGAACCATCTCCCCACTTTGCAGTTTCCTTCAGCTTTTGGAGCATTTTAGCTCATTGTTTTGGTTCATTCTCAGTGAACTGACTCATCAGGCTGTTCTCGGTGATATAAAGCCTTGATAAACCTGCTGTATGCTACCCACCCAGCAGTAATGGACTTCAAATGAATGCTAATGTTGCCTGCTTAAAAAGCAATCCTTTGCTAACAGCTTCAACATAGTACTTTTAAAGGTGGTACTATGTCAGTGTTGTGTTTTCAGCCTGTATTTGCTGCTTCCAAGTGGCCAACAATCTCCACAAACTGTGGACATAATGTGTATCTCCTGTTCTGACATCAGTCTTTTAAAGAGACACATTTTGAGACATAATTCTGTAGGTTTTTCTCCATAAAACTATAAAATATAGCCTTGTATTGATCCAACTGTGTCCTAAAGTAGCATCCATCTTTCTCCAACCGTTGTCTACAATTAGTCGTTACTCTCATTTGTCCTGTCAGAGGTTTGGCCCCTGAAAGACTTGAGTTCTGCACTTCCCCTGATCTTCTTTTAAGTATCTCTATAGTAACGTCACAAACACGTGGTTGCATGCTCCAATACAAGACGTATCACAGTTTAAAATAGATCTGTATTCCTGTACTCACAGAGCGGTGTTGGAGGCTGAAAGTCATGCCTGGCCTTGTTTTACTAATTCTCTGTGGCTGTTCTCTTCACCTTCTCATTTGCTCTAGAAACAGGAAGTGCCTTTAAGTGGTACTTGTACCGTAATCTCATCCACCCTCTCAAGGAGCTGAGAAGTGTGATGCCTTTTTGATTTATTCTGAACATGCAGGCCCGTTCTCTAATCTGTCCTTTCAAGAGGACAAAATTAGACGCCTTCTTTTTCTTCTTTTCACTTATTCCTCCTCTCAAAAACCCAGGGGTCTTTAAGTTCTTTTTCCATGTGCTTACCTCCCTCTGGAGTGGCCTTTCTGTCTGACAGGAACACTTAGTGAGCCGCCTACACAGTAAACGCTGCATGGTGTTCGCTTTGGCTTCATGTGGCATATTCTGTATAACCGATATAGGTCTCAGCCTTTTTCTTCTTTCACCTGACTGCTTCTTTCTTTCCTTTCTTTCTCACAAACAGCTTCTTCTTTGACAGGTTCTGTTTCAGTCAGGGCCGAGGCTCATTACGAAAAAATCACCGTAGCGCTTTTCTAAGAGCATTTTTTTTAAAACCTGTTTCTTCATTAGTCTGAAATCTTTCTTTTTGTGACACTTGTCTGTATTTGACATACATTTAACTCTCCCCCTCCCAAGTCTTTCTCCCACCGCCTCTTTCTACACCAACCCTCTCTCCATGTCTTTCTCCATTCTGTACATCCGTCCATCCATCCATTTTCCTCCGCTTATCCGGAAGCGGGTTGCGGGGGCAGCAGTCTAAGCAAAGATGCCCAGACTTTCCTCTCTCCAGACACTTCCTCCAGCTCCTCCGGGGGAATGCCGCGGCGTTCCCAGGCCAGCCAAAAAGACATAGTCCCTCCAGCGTGTCCTGGGTCTTCCCCGGGGCCTCCTCCCGGTGGGACATGCCCGGAACACCTCCCTAGGAAGGCGCCCAGGAGGCATCCGAAACAGATGCCCGCGCTACCTCAGCTGGCTCCTCTCGATGTGGAGGAGCAGTGGTTCTACTCTAAGCTCCTCCCGGGTGACCGAGCTCCTCACCCTATCTCTAAGGGTACATTCTGTACATTTTCTATTTAAATGTTACTGCACCCCGGGGGCCCTGGTTCATAATTATGGGGCCTCACCACCCCCACTGTGTCATTTCCTTAATGAGTTTCTGGCCTTACAACCTCGGTTCCTGCACAAGTAGAGTGGTTCTGCTCCAAAGTAGCTGAGTATAGACGAGAGGAAGACGGATAGCTTCACTGTACGTTTGTAAAAGGAAGGAAGACGGGGATGAGGATCCTAAAGAAAAGGTTTTTTAACACTAGGTTTGCTGCTGGTTGTGTAATTCCTTGAATTTCATGGAATTTTGTAAGAGATATGCATTCAAGACAGAAGTCAAATAAGGGATTTGATCGGTTCCCTGCAGTGGGTAGGAAATATCAGATATTTATTTTGCTCATTGCAAAATCACCAGAGCGATCAAACAGAAACTTCATTATCTGATCATGGAGGTGCTGACACTTTGACATGGGGCATTATGAAACATCTGGGTGAAGACTTTTCTAATCACACTGTCAGATTTGTACAGCTTGAAAGAAGGTTTTTCACCCACGCACACCTGCACACAAAAGGTTTTTTGAACTTGAAACTAACTGCAGCACACTTTCAGCAGTTATTTTCTTCTTCATCATTTAACATATTCAGGTGTCAGGGGAACTTTTATCTGTCAGTGAATAAGAGTCAGGTTTTGCAGGCCTCTAAAAAAAGAAAGCTGTGTATTTATTCCTACTGTGGTGTGTTGTTTTGTCAAGATTATGGAAATGTTCTGTACTTGATATTCTTCTGCAGCTACAGAGATGAAAGCAGTGCTGTAGGCAGAAAGATTTATTGAATGTAATCAGTAATATTGTCTCACTGTCTGCGGCAATCAGCCCACCGCTGCCACTGTACCTCTTGCCGGTCCCTGACTGCCCCCCCCCACTCCCACTCTCTGTCAGCTGTGTATGTTTAAAAGAAGAAGTCAATTATAGATCTGGGTTAATAGAATGGGTTCCCTGTGGGAGAGGTCGAGGGATGAGATCCTCTAATGAAGCCTACATTTCAGGTCCACAGCTGATGTATAGAACTCACTTTGTGTGTATAGTGTTTGTACTTGTGTGTACATGTCTGTGCATATACACATAGATGTACACACTGCACCAGACTAATTTAACAAAAAGTGTCAATGACGAGAAAACGGGTACATTGACGCTGTTAGGGATTTATTTCCATATCACCAGTCATTAAATTCCTGGAATGTCATGGAATTTATATATTTTGTTGACAAATGTTACAGAATTTGATCCGATCTCTGGAGTGGTCAGGGAGAGTCAGTGAAAACCATAGGCAACTGTTTGTTGACTTCTTTACAGCCTGACTTGGCCTCTAATTAGGAGGAACGACTTCACTTGGGCCACCACAGCTACACACAAGGTTGCAACCGAGCATCTTCGTTCATTTTGCTCACGAACCAGCATCACTTCACTGGGAGTGATAGAGTTGATGCACAGTGTCCTATTTGTTGGCAGAGCACATCTCTCTATGTAGTCATTGGGAGTGCAGTGGATTGTCTTGGTTTCAAAGAAGAATTCAGAATGTGCACACTTTCTTCTGTAAACCGCACACACGAGCTCATTGCTGACATTTTCTATGCACATTTCTGCATACGCACAAACACTCAATGGCAGTTCATATATGGAGGAATAATGTATGAACACAGTAGCTCATGTGCTCATTTAATCAGGTTTTTCTTCAGTGTGTTGCACAGAACTGAAGCGGCATGGTAATGACGTCTCCCCCGCTGAGTCTGTCTCAGTATGCAAGAGGCAGGCTACTCCCTGGACAGTCTGTCGCAAGGCTAATACACATAAACAGACTCACATGGGAGTTGTATAGAATTCAGTTCATGTAACCTGCATATTTTTGGACTATGAGAGGAAACTGGAGCAGGAGAGAAAAACCCAGTGACAGTATTAACCACTGATCCATTGTTTCACCCAGGTTTGATGTGTTCATCTTCTCATAGACAGATTGGCAATGTTACATACGTTCTTCACTTTTAGGAAACATCCTGAATAGGCTTTCATGTCAGAGCTGTTTTCAGTTTACATTTCAGGCAGGGATGTCACACCACAGGTCCTTTTCAAACATGTTAATGGGATTTAAGAGTGCACAGTCTATTTTGAAGCTGAGTTCAAAGTGTTAATGCCACTAATTAAGACATTTGATTCCAGTTCTTGTAGATTCAAAGGAAATGGGAGAACATTTAGCACCTTTTTTATATCAGAAAGATTGTGAGCAATGGTGGGTTCTCAACCTCTGAGTACTCAAATGCTAACTATAAAACTGTTAAACCCTGATTTCCCAAGATTTTTTCTTATCAAATTGCAAAATATATACAAGTCAGTAATATCTTTGCTGTTAAAATGATAAAAATTAAGACTGAGTTTTGTAATTTTTAAGTGTTTCCCTATTTTCTAAATCATAAATTTGTGCAGCTAAAAAAAGCTTGTTTCAAGATTCTGTCAGAAATAGGTGTAGTAGATATATGCTTAGTGTAAGAGCTGGACTGCAGGTGTGTCTTAGCCTTTTCCTGCTGTTGAAATTGTTTGTCTTCGCATTGCATACAGTAAACAACCTAGTCCATCATCATCTACACCACTTATGGAGCCAATCCCAGCTGACATTGGGCGAGAGGCGGTGTCCAACCTGGACAGGTTGCCGGTCTATCACAGGGCTGACATGTAGAAAACAACCACACACACACACCCACACTCACTCCTACGGGCGATTTAGGCTTACCAGTCAACCTAAGCTGCATGTCTTTGGACTGTAGTAGGAAGCTGGAGCGCCTGGAGAGAACCCACGCAGGCACAGGGAGAACATGCAGACTCAGCACATAAAGGCCCCGGGTTTGAGCTATAGAGAGTTAAAAACACCAGGAAGGTGGTGGTTGGGGTGGATGTATGGGTCCGACAAACACCTGACTTTCACACAGACAACAGGAGGTGCTGTCCCGTGTCCTCATTT